CATCTTACGTTGGTCAAACAGGAAGACAATTAAGAACACGAATCTCGGAGCATCGAAATCACATAAAACATAACACTACTATAACGACGCGTTCTGTTGTAACAGAACATACATAGATTGCAGAACAATCACGAATTTCGTTGGGACAATGTAAAAATTCTGGATGAAGAGCCAATCTATAAGAAAAGATTAATTTCTGAAATGGTCAATATCAAGAAACAAACAGTTTAAACTTACAGACGGACACCGAAGGTCTCCATAGAGCGTATTTACCAATTATAAATAAATATGTTATTGAAACTCGCTCTCGTTGTTTAGATGAAAAGTAGATATGACGACAGGCAGACGTGTTACAGTAATTGGAAAAATTGTAACGGGCAGTACATCTTTCTTGGCCTTTTTTGAGAAATTTCCTTTTGTTTGTGAAATCCAACAGTGAAGGTGCGAATGAATTAACTCATTTTTAATTTAGAGGTAATAATCGAGACTATTGATTATACTTACAGTTTTTTCAACGAGATTGACAATCGATTGACTTAATTTCTTTCTTCGATGGATTAATATCACGACAAGATTAATTTTTTATACATATACAATTTGTTCTCACTTCTGAAGAAGACTCTAAACAAGAGTCGAAACGTTAAGCGGATATTACTTATTTAGATTAGACCATATTGTTCAATTTTATGATTTTGCGTTTGTAATTTTTGCGTTTTAATATTGACTGTTTAACCAACATTATTGTGTATAATATGAATATATATTAAGTTTGTTTATCTAATTACTGACTCTTACACCGTCCTATATATTTACCATTTAAATCAATTAAACATTTTAGACTCATTTTTTTAATTTCGCTGATTACAATGCTATCTGTCATCAAAAAAATGTTTGTAATAGGTAAAATTTATGTAACTATTTCTGAAGAAGCGAAATCTGTAATAAAAAATGGGGGTTCCCATTTAAAATTTTAAACTTACCCTCTCTTTCACCCACAGCGGGGTGGGGGGTCATGTTAGATGTCAAAAGATAGCTTTTTTGAAAACATTG